AACAATGTAATGAGTAATTGAACTGCGGGCAGAGAGAGATGTATTGTTGAGTCGAGCACGTGAGACGTTCATTGTGAATTATAGCATTTGTTATAGCTTGACTGTGGAAATTAAGTATATTGCAAAGTTGTATTTAGAAAGAATAAACCAGTTTCATTTAAGAAAGGACTTGTATCGCTAAAGTTTCTTAGAAAAGAAATTATACGGAAAATTAACTAACGAATGGAGGTGTAACAATATTATTGTGCCTGATGCCCACAGAACCGAATTGAATGAACAGTTTAGTATAAGAAATAATATATCTGTTCTTGTAAATTTTTTGGGTCTGTTTATACTTATAGGTGTATTTATATGTTTCATCTAGGGTGAAAGCAGTGAAAATTTCAAGTACTCTTGATTGTAATATTGTAATTCAACAGGCTTGCCAATTTTTTTTTAAATTGTTTATAACCATTTTTTCTATGGGTACATAAATTCTTGATATATATATATATATAATAAGTGTTTGATCATAAATACATACTTTCTCTGAAGATAGATCTTCGATGAAAGCAGCATCTGAGCATGAAGGAATAACTAATTTGCTTTCAAAAGGACATGAAGAAAACTACATTAGCTGCACCCCAAAAAGAAGCATCTTGAACTGAAGAGCTTTTATAATATAACAGAATATTCATTTGTTTCTATTGCTTTTTCTGTATGTAATATTTTTGCTATTTCTTACAGTTCTTCACTGCAACTTTTGCTATTGAAGCTGGCTTGAAACTAATAGCTCTTAGTCCTAAAACTTATTTCCGAGAGGGGTGGAACATTTTTGATTTCATCATTGTTGCTCTATCCTTACTGGAACTCACGCTAGAAAATATACAAGGATTGTCAGTGCTTCGATCTTTTCGATTGGTAAGTAATTCACTGAGGTTTTAAAGTTTCTTTTCTGTCTGTAAGTTATTTTGAAGCAAGTAATAAGTAATATGTGACAAGATTATCAACTTCATCATGTAATATCTGGAATTTTAGTTTTCTGTAACAGATTTTGTAATCATTCAGTTTTTAAGGCTATTTTTAGTGATGATCCACTGTTTATCTTTATCCAAGCTGACCTAAACTAACAAAACTAAAAATGTGTATGTACATATCTGCTGAATAGGAAATTAGTAAAAGTCCCATATCTTTAGTAATATAATAATTAAGAAACCATGATTGTTATCCACATTATTATGGTGTATGTGATAGAAATATTGTGGTGTATTTTTCTAAAAAACAATACTTTAGATTAACCATATTAGTAAAAAAAAAGAAACTTGCACCTGTACATATAATTATATCAAAATTCATTATTAGTTTGTATGTATAATTTATATCTTACATAAAATAAACTTCTTTATATAAGACTTTAATCTGTTAGAGATATTTATTGTAATAAAAAATGTAGGCTAAACTCACATTAAATATCAAATCCATATCAACTGAGAATTCACTTTCAAGCTATATGAAGTGGTTCTTTTATCATATTTTCATCTGTATACAATACTATTATTAAAATTATATAAAGGTCCATGAGGCAGAATTTCTTACTATCATTATAATCGTATTTATGTGATCTTCTAGAACTACAAACTGTATTTATCAGCTGTTCATGACATGAGTTTTGTTACTTAATTTAAGGTAATATACTTGAATTATGATTCCTATTTTTCTTCTTAAAGATTATATGAAGAATAATTATATACCTGGATTTGGCTAAATCAAGGTTATCTTGAAACTATTGAATAATGTCCTCCCAAAAATTCCATGTTTAGAAATTTTACAAAAACAATAGCAAATCAATAAATAGATGCCAATGTGGTATGCAGGCATACCACATGTTTCATATCTCTTTATTTAATATAAGAATTTCAAAATTTCTATACAAACACTTTGTATATAGTCATGATATAGAATGTCGATCAAGTGAAACATAAAGTTTCTCTCACCCTAGTTACCTACTGAACTGGTTCATTCAATTAGGATGTCACATGAACTTTCTAATAGGGAATATTCCTGTAAAATAAAGATTACTCTGTAGAAATAGTGATCTTTTGCATTGACAGGCCAGGTGGTACCTCTAAAATACAACCTCCTGTATTTTGGATGGGAATGACTTTATGTTCATGTGGAAAGCACCTGCACTTTCCAAAGGATAGCATTATTGTTTTGTATATATAATGCCATGTTTTCTCATTTTGGGACAGATATAGGCAGATTTCAGAGATTCAGATTCAGATACACTAGAGAGCTCTTCAGTAAAGGAACCACAAAATACAATTATTTAGCTTTGATTGTTTTTGAGTTTTGTTCATTTTGTCTAGTCTCTTTCTTTGTTTCAAACTCAGAAGATATCAGAGAAGTAAGATTCACTTTATAGTACATTTTATATCAAAACCTCTTATTATTCTGTAACTCCTACCTGATTATTCTTAAAGGTAATTCAGAGTTCCTGAGGATACCACACTAGTGACACTTTTGTTTTTTACCATAATTAGTTTTACAGTATTGAAGTTGTATTACAAGCAGGATTTTCCCCCAAATTTTTCATTTATTATTTGAAATAAAAAATTGTACCTTCGTTTTATACAATATTCAACATGATATATCTCTTTAAATTAAATGCTTCATAGTTAAATTACATGTGTATACTTAATATGTTGTGATGATTCCCACATGCTTCCAGCACTAGGACATCAGCATTAGTCTTGACTAGCACAATACAGTAAGGAGACTTTGAGGGTTTCAAGAAACTGTTTGTTTAAACATTATACATAACACAAAACATAATTCAGGAACAGTGTTTTTGTAATTTACTACACTAGCTTTTGGCTGTCCAGTGGCCATTTTTAAGTGGAAAAAAATTTTGGTTCAAATGTCTCGTGGGTGAACAATGTTATATAATTCTACATTATAAATATAACCAACTTATTAGTACTGCTAATAAAAGGCACCTATACAGTACATTGCATTGCCTGTAAGATGTTACATGGACAGCTGCTCTACACCCATTACCTCTTTCTTCATACCTCCTCAGCTAAATATATGTTGTAGCTCAGCATACATGAATGTCACATATTTACAGTACTTTGCACATCCCTCGTAAAAGAACAAATCAATAACGAACACATTGTACAAGATTAAGCTCAACATCTCAGTCATCATCATATATTGGATCACTGGTATCTAGAGATACCTCTGTTTCATATGACACCCATAGAGCAGTCCCACATATACAAGATAAAGTAGGACACAATAGAATTTTTCTATAAAACAATAGACAGATTCTGTGATTGAACCATGCTATAAAAAGTAGCACCTAAAGCAGAATGTAGCACATGATCTTGGCCAAGGTCAGTATGTTCCAAGAAAGAACTTCAGAAAAATGTGTATGGTTTGTTTTTAAATGTGAAATATGTATTGATTTAGGCTTGTCCTCAAGCTGAATTTTACAACACACTCTGGCAAAATTACATAAAAAACTATGGTGTTTGGTGTACATTAGCATTTGACTTGTATACACTATAAAATGCTCCTACTCACCATTCTGCACTTTTGATAGCACTCCTCTGATTCCACTGTCATTGATATCTGTGTCCAGGATGAATGGAATATCTCTCTTCAGATAAGTTAACACCAGTGCATCAATCAAGGTACATTTTAGCAATTGAAATTATTTTACACAGTTCTTAGTTCATCTAAAATAGAGTTCAACCTTATTTAACATTGAAAGCAGTGCCACTGTTGCAGAAAACATGGCTACAAAGCATTTACAGTATCACACATAGCCAAGAAAGCTTTGGGTTTCATTCTTGTTCATAGGATAAGGCCAGTATACTACTACTGCATTTATCTTAGGATCTGTAGACACTCCATCCCTATGCATTACATATGTATCCAAAGAGTACATGCATTCACATGAAAGATTATTTATTTGGCTTCAGCTTTGGACCTGCTTGTCACATATTGCTACTTCCATCAATTGTTCAAATGTACCTAGTGTACTACAGAGGCTCAGTAGCATGACATGAAATTGGAGAGCTAAAAGCAGTCCTGGCCCTGCTTTCACCACTTAACTCACACATAAGTAGTCAGAATCAATATCTAGTGAGCTAAACTAGCAAAATCCTTCCAATGTATTAAGCCAATGCATGTGTGGCAATGAGAAATGCATTGATGTGATAACCACCTTCACTCACACTAAATCAACACAGAACATAGGCACACCTCTGTCTTTCATACAATAACTACTGCTGATCACCAGGCACTTTCTGCTTTTTGAATGATTCTGTCCTTCAGCATTCAATCTATGTCAGTACTGGCTGTACCTTTGGTGTTCCAAAGAAGCTTATATGATAGTTGTTTGATCAGTCATACATGTCGGGTATTTTACAATGGGGTATTATGTTTGTTTTTTTGGTCACTTCATTGTTACAATAAATAATTTGGCAAAAATTTGTCAGTAACTTCCCAATTTCTGTCTATTGGTCTGGACTCAGAATGTCTACATGGTCTTCAACCAACAACCGTATGTGTACTGGCAACCATGTATTTATCTGTGAATGTGATGCAGCTGAAGTAGCATTAGCTACACTGCTAAATGCAAATCATAACTAGAATTGGTTTTTCCTTTAGAGAGATGGCTATCCAAGCAAGCATTGCTTCATTGTTAGGATGAAAGCATTGGGTCTCAGGCATAACTTCCACCACAGCAGTAGATGGTAGTGAAATCTGAATTGTGTTTGTAAAACACCACATAACACCACTTGTGTATTAAATGAAGATCTATCCTCTCCTGCACCAACTAAAATTACCTTACATCTGTGTACTTTTACAAGTACATACCAAGCCATACTCAGCCCTGTAGATCTCAGAACAACCACCACATTTGAAAGAACAAATGGCATCTTTGGTAGACACATTGCAAGTTTTTTGCTCAGAGAACTTAGCCAAAGCTACTCTCTCAGATTTTTTACCACCAACACAACTTCTTTCAGAGAAACAGTATCTAATGTCCAAATGATGTCATATAGACTTTCTAGAGATTCCCTTCACAAACTTCCCAACAAGAATATCATCAGAGTCAGCTGCCACCATGCTGGAGTATGCTTTAAAGTGTAAGTGTTGTTGCTTATTGTATACATAGCTAACTTTCCATATGCACCATGTTTGTAAGTCTTGTATTCTGCCAGTAAGTGGTAAATATGCAACAATGGCTTTCCAGTTACAAAATTTGTCAGGTTCCAGATGCTCAGTAGAATCTAATGCTGAACCATCTGAACTAAGCAGCAGGCACAGCATTGTTTGATCCTGAGTCAAGGAATTTCAAGTGGCTACTTAGCAAATCTGCTTAACGAAGCAATTTAGATCTTCATTTGCAGAATTTCTGAAAGATGGAGGCAAGATTTGTTTCACTGTGCTACTTCCTGCTAGTTGTAGCAAGGGTAAACTTTCATCAGTTATATCACTCTGAATGAATGATTGCACAGTTGGAGTTTTAACATTCTGCTAAATGTCAAGCTGCCAGATACTAATTTTTGCTTGAGCAACACTCTACAACACAAGGTTCTGTTTAACACACATAGATTAAAACTTCTCATCTCAACATAAGAAAGCTCTTGGTTAATCCAGGATACATTAAGCACTACATATGATGGTGACTGTACCACAGGGAGGTGGGTATGTCTCATACTAGGCACTTCTAAGTAGTCTATCCAGTATGAAGTTTCAGGAGCACTAGATGCTGCCTTATACAGATCAGTGTAAATGTGGTCAGATATGCTTTCTTGGTGACCAACATCTTGAAACTAGGCCGATGTGCAGCTGTGAGTTCTTAACAGAATTCTTTGGCATCTCTTGGACAATATCTCATTGGGAGCACAAGAGAAAAGTAACCTGGAGGAATCAAAGATGCAGTACCACTTCTGCAATAACTAGATCCTAATCAATAGCACCAAGTTTTGTATCAGTTGCCTGATTACTGTATGAAAGTGTCACATTATTTACTACTTTTTTTTTAATGATAATCAGAGCTAATTCTAAGAAATTAAATGTGAGAGCAAAGAAGAATGAATAACAGTATGTCAAACAAACCAAACTATACCTGTCATATCCAGTGCTGATGAAGCCTTTCACAAAGTACCAGGGATCATCAGGCTGGCTAGCATATAATAGACATAGAAGTGATTGAGTGCTATTAGTATTATCAAATTGCATGAACAGCAACTGTTATACTGTGAAATAGATTCAGTTGGTGAAGTGTAATTTTTATTAATTTTATATGTCATTTACAAATCAGAAATAGGGTAAGGATTAATAACACAATATTATTTGTTTATTTCAACAACAATTATTTATTATTATTATGTAAATGTAAAGAACAAAATCATAATGTGACTTTAAGTCTTCTTTTGGCTATTATAGAACTTTTTTGCATTTAAATTCTACATACCTCATTATGTTAACACATTGTACATATTTAATTGTATTATATAGGTGAGTGGTAGCTTTAAGGCAAAACAATATACTATTTGAAATAGTTTAAGAATGTAAAGATACTTTATATCACACATAAACATAATTTCAGATAGACTTTTGGTTGAATAGTTTCTGAGCAGCTGTACTAAGAAACATATATCTATACAAATGTAATTTCACTGCTACAAATAAGTAACTTAAAACTTTTTTCAAAGGCTCGTAACAACATAGATGAAGTTATGTATATGGTAATGAGAAGAACTACAAGTTATACCATCCTCCTATTTTAGCTACGAGTTTTCAAACTGGCAAAGTCATGGCCAACATTGAACCTGTTGATATCAATTATGGGAAAAACAGTTGGAGCTTTAGGAAACCTGACTTTTGTCCTTGGTATCATCATCTTTATTTTTGCTGTCATGGGAATGCAGCTTTTTGGCAAGAATTATGATATAAAAAGACATTTGTAAGTTTTATACATGCACTCTCTGTTGATTAACATATTTTGAATTATTAGAGTTCTTTTATAAAGGATATTTCTTGAAAATGTTTTGTAACAAGATTGTAGTTCTTGTTTATAACCATAGGAAATAATTTTTAAGGTAACCTACTGGTTTACATTTAGTGTAAATTATTGTAAGATTCTTGATTCATTATTAGCAATGGAAAGTAATTATACTACATGTACATGCAAAATTGTAACCAGCATACTCTTTTTGGGGTGTCTTATACAGGGTGGTTAAAAATTATCTTTCCTGTTTCAAAATTAACTAACTAAGGAAATACAACCATGCATTTTCAACATTTTGTAGCCCAACTCAAACAGCTTTTACCGACATGGTAGTAGACTTCTATGTGTGCACCATTATTGGCTCTCAGAATTTCTAACCAATATTCAGTTTCAGTCCATGTTCACAGCAACATGCCCACAGTTACAGTGCTGATGGCATCTGTTATCCTGGTCTTTTGCTCTGTGATGTTTGCTGTAAGTGTACGATACGCTCATACATTTTTCCTGTACTGGCATCTGTAATTACACTGCACCACAGTCACTGACTTTGTCTCTGCAACTTAAACAATGCAATGAACCTTTTCTTGCATGGTTGTCATTTTATGAGGTAATACTACTCATTGGAGTGAAAACAAACATGACAGTACAAACTGTTTGAGTTAGGCTACAAGGCTGTATTTCCTTAGTTATTTATTTATTAAATATTAAAATAGGAAAGATAACTTTGGACCATCCTGTGCCTTAGATAAATTTGAATACTCTACAGTTAATTACACTTTTTACAGAGTATTTTGAGGAATATTCTTGATATTGTATTAGTTTAAAAAGGTATGTCACAGTCTAACAGAACTATTTGATTTGTTGTTTACAAGTTTGTACTGCAAATCATTTTATTCATTGAATGATTTTAGTCATTTTTTGTGTTATGAATACTGCCATGAATTGTGGGTATTTCTCGTTAGTAATAAAAACTTTTGCAGGTTTCATAATCAAGAGGTTCCACGCTGGAACTTTCAAGACTTCATGCATTCCTTTATGATTGTCTTCAGGGTGTTGTGTGGAGAGTGGATTGAATCCATGTGGGATTGTATCCTTGTTTCAGGCTGGGCTTGTATTCCTTTCTTCTTAGCAACTGTTGTTATTGGTAACTTGGTGGTAAGTAAAATATGTCCATATATAAACAATTTAGTTGTGCCAGAATTAGTATCATTCTTATTGTTTGCTATCCATGTTACAATGCCATTGTGTTTTATGTATGTTTATATGCGGTGTTAGTTATCATAATTAAACTTCTTTATAACTTAGACTATTAAAATGTCTTTATTCATAAAAATTTACAGGATGTACCACTCTTGGACTGCTATAATTTTACCCCTAATGTTTGTCTTTTCATGCTCATATGTGCAAACCAAAACTTGTCTATTTTGTGCCTGGTCTGCTTGCTAAATAACTTGTGTAGCAGGTTTTTATAAATTGTGTGGCATACTAGTCATGTGCAAAGATAGAGAAGCTAGAAACTGTTTCCCTTGTTCTGTAAATGGGGCTTGCCTTGTGAAAATGGCATTGGTGTAGTATGGTGAAGATTAAGATTGAATATAATCCTAAGCAGAATGTAGTTTTATCGTTTAGGATTTTCCTAATAATCCTTTAAGACTTTGCCTCGTCTCTGCCTTGTGAAGATCATCTTCCAGAAAGTAATCTGAACTGCCACTCTAACATCTTTAAGTAGTTTTTAAATTCTAAAACCCAGTTAAATTGTGCATTGGTCGAGTAACTGGTGTAACTTACTTATGCCCCTGTAAAAAGATACTTACACATCACTACACATAGACAAGAAAGTGAATTTTATAATATATATATATATATGTAAATAACAGTTGTACTCTAACAAAGATAAATCAGTCAACTTACAAACATATAATCAGCATCAGTGATCCAAATACAGTGTAATAACTATTTAAGTGACACAGTTTAACAATTGAATCTCATAACATATATATATATATATATATAAACCCTTAACCAGATTCTTGTACATCAATTAATACAACTCTTCACCAAAACTATTTTACAGAATACGCAAAACAAATGCAAATCAATACAATGTAACACGTATAATAATTACAATACAAAATAAAATTAAAAATAACAGAAAACAAACTCTTTGACAAAATACTGATATATAATCAAATAAAAAATGTAACATAAATCATATTGGTACTAAAAACATTTAGTATAACCAATGGCCGTAAAAACATAATGCAAAAAAAATCAAAGATCATAGATGTGTATGTGTGTATATTTCTATGGTAATGTCTTATTACATACCAAATTAAGAACATCCTAATACAGAGTAGATCATAAATATTCTTTAACATCAATCTGACATTACTTTAAAAATACAAAATACATTAAAGAAATATCCTTTGAAAATAATTATAAGAATTTAAACATGGCAAAATAAAATCCCTGTGATATTAACATTCAAACATAAGAATACTCATTTTCACAAAAATAAACACATATATCACAAAAACTTTATCAACTAATGAATACATGAAAATAATAACCCTTTGATGATGATACAAAGTAATTAAATAAGTCAATCAAACTGGTAAACAAAATTGCAATGTACCAACAAATGTCCTTTAACATAGGTCACTTACAAAATATCACAAAATCATTTACTTGAACAGAAAGATAATGAATTAAATATACATTCACATAATACATAGGTACCCTTTGTAAACAATGTGACAAAAAAAAACATCAGATCACCTTCTGATAGATACATAAAAGATAAGAATAATAATGTTAATAAACTCTTATGATAATAGTTAATGTTCATTTAAAGTGACTATTTACAGTACAGGACATAAGACAGAACATGGAAGCACAACTGCTTGCTGATCATCCTCACAATCTGGAATGGGCTGCAGTAAGCTGGCATTAATTGTAAAGCAGACAGGCTTGGCTCCAGTAGAATAGCAGGGGGAGGTTATCTTTCCCTAGCTGATCCTAGTCTGATGATAAGATGGAAGTCATCATGAAAGAAGGACTGATTGCTCTTTGTGAAGATGACAGAGTAAAACTGGCAGCAGTTTCAGTTGAAGTCAGCATGTCAGAGAGTCCCATTGGCAGAATACTTTCCTTCATAGGCTCAATGTCAGTCACAGTTAGGCTGAAAGATCCTTAGAGTTTTCAGTATTTCATGACACACCTGGTGTCATTGAACAGCATTTCTTCTGTGCAAAATTAGAGATAATCAAGCAAACAAAAATGGATGTGTATGAAATGCTTGGCATACCTAGTCAAAGTTAATCAAGAATTTGGTTATACATAACAAAATTCAGGATTGAAAGATGTATGATCAGCTGTATCCTATTTGGTCAGAAGTTCAGCTAAAACTGTAGGTTTGAATGCTTACTGGCCCAGCCACAACTACTAACTATTACCTTGTTCAAGTGACATTGTTAGAGATTTATGTGTACTCAAGTGAACTTGTAGACATCCTGGTCCACCAGGCTTCATTGGGTATAGCACATTACCAGCCTTCAGATGTGTTGCCCACTGTCATTATCATCTTGACAACAGCTAACACAGCTACCTGTAATCCATTACATTCTATTTACTGATATCTGATTGTTACACACACATAACCCAGGTCCAGTAGGAATATAAAAGGGGTGAAACTATAAACACTGGCTCCTACACAAATAACTGAAACTAAATAATTGTCATACAAGTGCCAGCCTTTAGCTTCTGACCATGTAACTTAATTTCTACTAGACTTATTGCAGATACAAGTTTAGTATAGACTAGGGATTATTTCAAAAATATTCCATGCAGTTGTCATTTTCTGCCTCTGGCTCTGTACTCGGACTGCATTTTTATGAATTTTAGTTGTACCTTATGCAGAAGCAATATTGAGAAAATATTCAATAAAACTGTTTGCTTACAAAATCATAACCAAACAAAACGTTGAGTATACCAAGTTTACACTTGGCATGACATACAAGCGACTGGTTGTTTATTTTTACTTTCTACACATGATTTCGCTACTATTACTTAAACACAAAGTTTCCCTCAAACACTGTGTGAGCTTACATGTTACTCCTATTTCTTCCTGTCCACTACCTGTCAAATATTTCAGTGTAAAAACTAAAAACATTCTCTTATGAGCATTAATCAAACTGTTGTTCATTCAAATAAAAGAAAATAAGGGAACATATATATATATTCTAAAGATATCACATGAGCTGCATGATGAAAAAAATCATTGTCTACCTTTAAATAGTGTGTTCTACTTTATAGCAACCTTTCCCATGAGAACATGCATGTGATCCCATGGGAGAATGAGTCAGACAATAGGTAATGAGGGAAAAGGATACTTAGCCACTTTTTATATCAATATTCTACTTTAAACTTACATACACCTGTATGCGCAAAAGTTTTGAACAATTTTAGGTGAACTTTGAGAGTTTTTGCTAAATAAATGAGACAGAAAATATGCCTACATACTATACTTGTGTGTAAGAACTTCTGTAGAAAATAACAAACCTGCTGTTTGACTAATTGTATATATTGTGGTTTGAAGAAATTACATTGCAAATGGCACTGTGTAATGATTTGTGTGTATTTTGTGAAATGAAGATATTAAAATTGTAAATGAAAGGTAGATGTTTTTGAAAACAATTAAAGATTATGTTTTTGAGACTGATTATTAATTTTTCTATGTTGTAGGTTCTCAACCTTTTCTTGGCTTTGTTGCTTTCTTCTTTTGGTGCTTCAAATCTCTCTCAGCCAACATCAGATAATACAGATACCAAGAAGCTACAGGAAGCTATTGACAGATTCCACAGAGCATCAGCTTGGATGAAGATGCAAATGTTAAACATAATGAAAGTGAGTTTATCTGTTGTATATTATTTTATAGTGTAAATTTGTAATGTGTGTGTATTTGTTAAAAAATTAATGGTGAATCAAAATTTCTGATAATTAGAATGTGTGTCAAATATTTTCTCTTGTGACGCAATGAGCTGTCAATGTCAAAGAAAAGTATATAAATAATTCATTATCACATTATAAAGAAAATCATTCATTACCAGAGAACAAACTTGTAGATAACTGCCCACTGTTGTTGTTTTTTCATTCTTGGAGTGCGGTGTCTTATGCTTAGTTGAAAGATGCACTACTGCATTCGAAATTCAGTAGCTAAGCTATTTGTGAAATTAACTGGATTACATTTTGAATAAAAAAATACTAAAATATTTTTTACATTATGTGCAGTGTTTCTGGTAAATTTATATATAAAATTTGAAGAAAATAATACTTCTTGTTTGTTTTTTGAACTACAGTTATATATATTTTTTCTTTTGTAATTTTATACATTCCCTGGATTTAATTATTTTTGTATTGCAAATGAATGCAATATTCTGAACCAAGTGGTACATAGATAAGATTTTTTTTCCCTACACTGGTTAATGACCATTCATCACCACCCCTTAAAGATTGTTTATTTATTACCACCCCTAATATTAATGAAACAGACCAAGTTAAATTTTATTGATTATTTCTTTTCAAGCTAACTTCTTCATTTACATTTAATACTTTATTATTAATCATGTATTTTTGCTTTTTATTTTTATTCACTTTAAATGACTATGAATTACTATCATTTATAATTGTTGTAAGTCACTTCTGTAGCTAACCATTATTTCATTTCCAAATTGTGTAACTCACTTTTTTGAAAAATAGGTAAAAACAAATCTAATATCTTATTGATCTTTATTTAATTCCTAAATATTAAGAAGTTCAAGATGAACTTTGTAGCATATAATGTAATGAAACTGCACATTTAAACATAATACATAAGGGAAGTTCAGAAACAAATGAGATTTTGTATCTCATAGGCCTGCCTTATCAGATTACAACCAACAAATGTTGAAAATATGGACAATAAACCATCACCCCTTACCAAAGTTCCTTTTATGTACAATGCATTTCTTCCATTGTTCCACAAGCTTCATCATACCTGTTTTGTTAAATGTGGGTATGGTGTTATGAATCCAGTTGTGTACAAATACATTAAAAACATCAGTTGTCTGCATATGTTTTACATACAAATGTTCCTTGAAAGGATTAAAAAAAAAGAAAAAAGATAAAATATTTTTTGTATGCAGAAATGGGGAAGAACTTCTCAGTTCCTACTATGAACACTACACTACCCCACTCATGAAGTTTGACTATGCTCTGTACACCAAATATCCCAAGTCAAGTTGGAAGTGAAAATATTTTTCTACAACTTTCTATTCAAGTTTTATTTGGTGCTGGAAGTTTATTGTGTCAAGCTTCACGAGTGCTGTAGTGTAGTGTATGCACACAGCCGTTTCAACATCTTTTATACAGTATGATGTTCCAAGCTGTAGTAATTTGCATTTGCTGTTTTTTAACTCCCTGACATAGAAACACATAATATATGATGTTGCTAGCAGCTGTTGAATAATAATGACCTAATAACACAATCATCAAAATCTATTTATTATATCCATCATATAAGAACGAAAATTCTGTTTTTCTTGACTATCACCTCGTAATACCATGACCACTTGTAATAATACATATATATGTCAGTTCCTTTTGATTTGGAATTTTATGTTAATGTAGTAAAGATACTATGAAGTTATATTGTATCTGCATTTCAAAAAACAGAGTTTAAAACCAAAAACAAGGAATAAGATTGCATACCGACCAGATAAAAGAGAAGATATTGAAGAATATAACCAAAGAGAGGACTTTGTGAGTGATGGCCAGGTGCTCATGAAAGACAAGGAAACTTCAAAAGAATTTACAGAGATGGATATTAGTGTTGGAGATGGCTTGGAAGTAGCATTTCATGGTAGGATATAGGGTTTTATCTTAATTCTCTCTCTTTTTTTTATATTCCACCACCTACAGCAGTCTTATTGAAATGTTTTCAACTGATTAACCTAGAGTTATTCAGTTTTTATCAACTAATCACAAAGTAAACAGTAAAAGCCTTTTCTATCTAATTCATATTTTATTTTCAATGAGAACTTATTGACACACCAGATTAAGACAACACAAACTTTGACTGTCACTTATGTCTAATGTTCTTTGTTTCTTGTACCTTTTCTCCAAAGACCAACCAGTGTTAACAGTAGTCAGATTGAAGGTACTAAAGAATGGATGAACAGGAGTAGGCCTAGATACGAGTTGCTTTACCAGAAATAAGACAAATACAATTTTCATCTTCAGGATTCAGTTGTTAGAAACTATTACATCTGTGTATATTTAAGGATTTGAAAAACATGCTTTTATTAAAATGATGTTATAGTATTTGGAATGAAATAAGTTAGATAATAAAATTGCACAAGGAAATTAAGAATAATGTTTTGGGCCACTGTTCTTGTGTTATCGTTGTTACAGATTAAATTGTATTTCAGCTTCAATGTTCTAAATCTAGTTACTTTGAGGCAGTTGTAAACTAGCTGAACTTTGTAGCTTGCCTATACTAATGAACAATTATTTTCTTTGTCTTCTTGTAACAACAGAAGATAATCAGGCCACAATAATGAAGATTAATAGCAAGCCTATGGTAAACTCAGTGTCAGTTGGCTCAAAGATTGAGTGTACAGATAACAAAAGGGTGAAGGTGATTTCAGTTTCCCATTCTTTATGTAAATCAAACAAATTAGTAGTAAAAAAACATACATTGAATATGCTAGTGTCATAAAATTAAAAAGTTAAATGTTACTGTTAATTTTGTTTGTGAAATCTTAAACTACTGGTTACAGAATATATGCAATATATTATTTGTCTTCATCAGAGAGCTATACTATTATTTGCTACATGAGGTATATACAGTAAGTTTTTATATTATGATGTGTTCGGATATTATAATTTTTCTTTTATTCCACATCTACACCATTTTTTGTTATTTCTTAGCATTTGCTTTCCTTTTTTGTAATATTTTTTATAACAAAGTATACATAATTATGATGCCAGTTGTGAGAGATGAGAGCCAAGTTTTCTCTATAGCTGTGTTTTTCAAATTTTGTTTTGAATTTTAATGTTCCAAAAGATATCATAATAAAAGAGATTTTTCCAAACTAGTAAGCAGTTTTTCATATAAATTAAGCACAAAAAATACCTTATATAGATTTTTAATTTTTGCTTATTAGATTAAAAATGTTTTTGGAATGACAAGAAATAAGCTTCGCTGAACCCGTTTCAGTTTTACTTGAGCTAAATTTAAATATTGTATTTTAGTTTAATTCTGTAGTGTATATTTTTGAATAAACTTATTTTGATAATACAATTGTATTTCACTTACAGAAAAAGTGACAAATATTAATCCTTAATTACCAGGTACTTATGTTTGATATCAAAATCTTATGAAGAGGATATACATTTTTGTTTTTATTCAGTTTTTCATTCTACGTTTTCTTATAATTTAATAGTTTTGATATGAATGATTAGTAAAAAAAAGAAATTAATGAAGAAAAATATGTACAAATTTCACTATTAATAGAATGCATTTAAATTTTCAGGAAAAGGAAGTTATAATTAATGAAGAGCATTTGTTAAGAGAAGGGGAGTTATCTAATGAGAAACCAAACCACAATCAGATGGCCTGGAAAGGTGATATCTTTGTTGTTAGTAAAGCAGTAATAGAATATAGTAAAATGCTTTCATCTTGTCATAGTGAGGAAGAAAATAAGGGTGTCAGCAATTGTGATTATGAAAAGAGCCATAGTGAGGATTGATGCATAACTAGAGATTGGATTATGATACTGAGAAATATGCTACATTACTCTTTGCTACTGCTCTTTGTTCATGACTTGAATAATTGATTCAATTAGCATTTAAGTCATTTAGCTTTTTTTTTTAAATGTGAACTACTATTTATTGCCTAAATCATTTTTAGAGCTTAAAACATTGAGTTGGTTAAAATTGTTGACAGTATTTTCTATTCACTGCTCCTGCTTCATCCTTTGGTTTTATAATATTATATCAGACTCTTTGTTGACCTCTTCAGGTATAGGTAATGAAAGGACCATAAAATAATAATTAGAATACCAAAGGCTTGTAAATTTAAGGTTTTATATTATTTTTAAGAATGATTTTATAATAGGGATCTTTTAAGGTGTAGATAGTCATTCTAGACTGTGGGAATTATCAAGGTGAAAAAAATTATTCATTAATGGGTTCTTTTATAAATATTGGATAAAACAGTATATGCTAACAGTTTCATATTAAGAAAATGGTCTGAAATATGATGTGAAATTCTGAGTTTTCTTTTCATTTCTATTTATCACAAAATAATATAAAGGTGATCCCAAAAGAAAGTTCACTGCCATTGTTTTTTATTTCTCTACTCACTAGAGCCATTTGAAGATGGTGAAACTCTGGATGCTGAAAACATAGACAAGCTTGAAACTGAAGATATTATTATTAGTGAACTTCCTGCTGACTGCTGTCCAGATTGTTGCTATAAACATTTCCTTTGCTGCATTGGTGATGATGGTTCTCCTTTCTGGCAGTACTGGAATATGTTACGTGACAGGAGTTATTGGCTGGTTGAAAACAAATACTTTGAAACACTTGCAGTCACTATGATCATGCTGAGTAGTCTTGCTCTGGTAAGTTTTATAGACACATGAAAAGGTTTCATTTCTAAAAGCAACAAGCATGCAACATTTTTACAGACCACAAAAGGTTAAATATCTAATTACACTGGCCT